ACTTTGGGCAACTGTGTGCTCAGCTAAAATTCACAGAATTACTGACAAACAGCTAAATGGATATTTGCAGACACGAAGTTTCTGCCACAGTCCCTATAGTGTATTGTGTACACAGCAGCCAGTGATCTTTTCAAAATACAAATCAGATCACATCACAGCCTTGTTTACAATTTTCCAGTAAATTCCCATTACATTTAGAACAAATCCATGCCCCTTACTCTCACTTCAGAGGTCTATGTGACCTGGAGCCTGTGTAGGTCTCTGGCCTTCTGAGAGCTCTCTACCAGAACACAGGCTTTCTTCCCATCACTTAAAACACATCAAGCTAATGCTTGCCTCAGGGACCAGCTGTGCTTTCTGCCTAGAATCTCTTTGGCTGGTTCCTTCCTGTCTTTCAGGTCTTGTGAGGCTTCTCTGGTTTCTAAATAAGCACTACATTTTCTCCTTCATCTTGCTTTATTTTCATTACTGTATTACCTGGTATTTTGGGGCTCCTTTGCTGTCTGTCTCTTCTTACTAGAAAGAAGGGCCTTGTCTGTCCGAATCACTGATGCATCTCCAGGGCCTAAAAGACTGCCTGACCTCAACAGTACTCAATACAGACACAGTGAACATATGGGGGTGACTGAGCATGACTCCAGTGTCTCTTCTTTATAACTGCAACACACAGCACAGTAACTGACAAACACGTATCTTGGTTGAACAAACAGTAGCCACACGTGACCTCACTTTTTTTTAAATGTGAGCACAAATCAGGAGATGGGGAAAGAACTGAGATTACCTCCACCCTCCTGAGATACCCTGCCACCACCGTTACTTTCCTCAAGCTGGCTCAATTTACCTTTGTTAGTAATTACAGGTGTCTACATATTCCTCTGTTAAGCAACTAAGTGGTAAACATAAGGCTTTTAAAATCTACCACAAGATGCTAGAACCACCTACCTGGTCTCCCTGCTCATTAGTAATTTCCTATAATGACAGCAGAATGGAGTTCAATTAGAGTCCACATACTATTTGACATGGTAATCACTTGTTTTTGATAAACTATGTTCCAAAGAACAAAAAAAGTACCCAAATTTAATCAAATTCAATCATACTTTACTAGTTAAGAACAAAGATGGATGGTGAACTTTGGGATCACTCCAGCCTACATATGATAATCACACTGTCAATCACTTTAGTAAGAAAGAGTAACTCTGTAGCAGAATGCTTTCTCTTTCCTGCAGAGTGTGACAAACTCCTCCTTAGTGGAGCCGATCAGAGATGGCACTTTTGTATGCTCTATTTTAATGACACATCAGTCCTCCTGACTGCACAGCAACTACCATCACCTTTTAACACGATCAGGTCATATTTGAAAGACTACTTGTTATCTTCTTGCGCTGTAATTTCCAATGTTACTCTAGGCATATTTAAACTAACATGTCTTAATGTCATAGAAAGGACTGAACTTTCGGATTAGTACACCCTGTAATTTTGGAAGCAATGTAACAAACATGTTGAAGTGTCAGTTCTTGGGGTCACCCTGGTGTCTGAGGTGACTGAGAGGGCAAGACCTCCCACTAATCAACTCTGTTCTTTTCTGTTGTCCTTTTTTTTTTTTTTTTAAAGTGCTTCCTCATAAGCGTTCCTCTGAAGTCTGGAAACCACTGGATTAGATCACCTCTTAAGATGCTCCTTTTCAACTCAAAGACCATAAAAACTGGAATTTCCAGTGCCTCAGGGACATGTATTTCTAAGTACCAATAATTATTCTGCAGGAACTTATTAAGTTGAAAAATGATAGGAGATCATGCTGGATGGGTGGTACCCTGAGAGCAAGAGGTAGCCTATTGTTTTAAAATTTCAGATATGAACTTTATTTATAGTCTATCATTTTTCTGTCTTTTCTAAAAAGGACTGAAATTGGCTTTGATTTGAACTTGTTTTGTAATACAGGATTTTTCCTAAAGAGTGAGTGTACTTTCAAAATGAAAGATAAACCAGATTGCAATTTAAGATTTACTACAACAAAACCATTATTTAATAAGACTTTTGAATTGACAGTATTAAAACAGTTTTTCCCAAACCCTGGAAGGAAAAGTCAAAAAGTTAATTTTTAACAAGACTTTAGTATTAAAAGACAAGTTTTTCAGTACCACATTTATTTCTGTATAATTTACATTCCTGGGTGAGATTTAAGAATGAAAAACAGGAGTTAATACTTGCACAGTCTCAGATAAGATTTTAAATACAGTGACAAGGAGTATTCGTGCTCTGTTACATCACAAATGTAACCACAGTTTATATAGCTTTAAAAATTGCTGAGTTGAATAGATTCTCCAGAAAAAAGTGTGCAGAATGAATAAGAACAAAAAATAGATTTATCATCTTCATGTAATATTTTCACGAGACTATAATGCTTAACCTTGACAGAAGGTTAACTCAAATTCTGTGAGGGCTACAGTAATCATAAACAGTTAAAAGTGAATTATTTAGTTTCAACAACATAAGACAACGTTTAAAAAGCCTAGTAAGGTTATCTTTTTGCCTTAAAGGCTGAAAGTAAAACAAGAATAATCAGTGGCATCTTAAAGAACTAAAATTACTTTCTACTTAAAATCTCACACTCACTATGGCTGATTTATTTTAGTAGAAACTGACCATAATATTTCAAACAAGCCTTTCATGGGTAATATCTACAATTATGTAAATGTTAAATAGCTGCTTCAGATAAGAACCTCTTTGATGTTGAAGCAATTCACTTTATAGATAATAAGGAAAACTTTCATGCCTTGGGGCAAAAAATGAGTATGAGAACTGGGAATGACCAGTATCTTTTTAAAAGACAATTTTTAAAAATAAAATTTTATATAGGTTATACATGCATTTGGTTAAAAAAAAATCAAGTGACACAAATGGGTGTGCAGTGAAACCAAAGTCTTTCCTTCATTCTTGTCTTTCCGTTCCCTGGATTTCTGTATTAGAATCAACTCCTGTTAACAATTTCTTGAATCTTTCCAAACCAATTCTTGGCATTTACAAGTTAATACCACAAAAGACTTTAAAAATAGCTTGTTTTCTCTCTAGGAAGCCGCCACCAACAGCAGTAACAACAACAACAATAGTTCAGCTTGAGCTTTAAAAATACTCCAGCTTGTAAAAATAGTTTATGTTGACTAACACGGAAAAAAGAAAAGCCAGACACTGTATTGTTTTCACTGTAGCTCACCAGAATCCTTTCCTGAAAGGTGCAACAACTCAACGCTTCACCATTTTGGCCAGAGAGGGCAGTGTGCACCCACCGCAAAGGCGAAGGAAGAAACGCTGCAAATTCCTTCACCATTGGAGGAGGCTCTATGAGCCCCTGCCCTAACCAGCTCAGTTTTATCAAGTTCTGCAGGTAAAGCGGTGTGACACATCTACGCGATGTCATCCGGGGCTGCCCTCAGATGCTCGGTCAGTAGGATGCTGACAACCTTACCGTGGTGAGGGCGCAATCCGACAACAGCAAAAAATTCAGATAAGCAAAACGATCAGAAATCCTACTGTGCATACGGTTTATCACGAAAGAGTAAAACGAAACATTCATTTCTCAGGAATGACTGTAAAAATTGAGAGTCAGAGATACGAAAGCCACAGGATGAATTTGAGTTGTTTTCAATTGTATAATAAATGAATCACTAAGCATTTATGGTTTGTGAAATATTCATCAGCTAGAAAGTCCTAGGTTACCTTAGTGTAAGCTGTAGATCGGTTTACAGTGGGGTAAACGTTTTAAATTAAATTACTGACACCTCAGTCACAAATTTAGGAATATGTGGAGAGGAGCTATGTGTCCAATTAAAATCAAAAGCAAAATTACACGGAATTTTCTAATAAAACAAATGTGATAAGTGTTGTTATGGAACAGGAAAAACGCTAAGCTCTGTCACTCTACAAATACTAAGAAACAGAGCTAAGCTATATGTGACACGTTAATAATGCCTCAGTTGTACCCTCAATATTTTAAGAAAGAACATGTGATGACATTACAAACATACAGATACTCAATTTTCAATCTAAATAGATCAGCAGGGCGAAAAGAGAAGTCCTTTACGGAGTGCTGGTGCTATTCTCCCTCTGGAAATTGAAAAGACGATTTATTCAGTCCGAGTTTCGGGAGCAACTTTGTATCCCAATTCTAATTATCTATGTATATAAATTTTCCTCTAAATTACCGCCTCCTGGGAAATGCAAAGCGGCTGGAGAGTACTTTAGAGCTCTGCGCTCTTGGGAAGCCAAGTGTTTTAATTCCCAGTACAACAAATTAGTAAGAACCGAACACCAGCGGCGGGGAATTCTGAGACCTCCGAGGAAGCTGGAGGAGCGCAGTTCCGGGGAGCGCCGGGGCTCAGCCCGAGCAGCCGCGCTCCCCCGGGCGGGACGAGCCGAGCCGGGCCGGGTCTGCGGCGCCCGCGCGCCGCCCCCGGAGCCCGCAGTGGTGCCGCAGCCTGAGCGGCCGCAGCAGGTGGGACCCGGCCGGCCCGGCAGGCCCAGTTCCCCGCAGCGAGGTTGGCGCGCCGCGGGGCTGTTCGAAAACCGCTGCACGACGTCACGGCCGCGGCTTTTATTGTTCGCGTGGAATTACTTTTTGCCATCACATCTGGAGAGAGAGCGGCCTTCGCTCACGACAGGAATCTCACAACTTTGCGAAGCGATAGGCGGAATTCTACGGAAGCGGCGCTAGGGCGCAGGTCGGAGGGCCCCGCGGGGCCCAGGGTCCTCCCAACCGCCTTCTCTACCGGATCCCCTTTCCCATTCGCGCCCGGCGAACATCGGCTGGACTCTCAGGGGCCGGAGGCGGCGCGCCGGGAGAGACGGACAGTGCGCGCCCCCCGCGGTCCGCTCCGAGTGGCCGCGAGTCCCGCCAGACAAAGAGGCGCGTCGGGTCCGGGATCAGGGAAGGGACGCGGCAGCGAGGCAGGGCGGCGCGCCAGCCTCGGCCCGCAGGGGGCGCCGTCCGCGGCCCCAGCGCTTACCTTTGAGGACCGAGCAGAGCCGCTCCAGGGCCATGTTCCCGAGCTGCCCGGCGCTTCGCAAGGGGCTGAGGCTGCTGCAGCGCGGGGCTCACGGCCCGACGCAGCGGCTGCGGCCCCGCTCCATCCTCATCGCCGGCCAGCAGGTGCCTCCCCGCGGGGCAGGGCTCAGGTCCTGCGGCCCGCCATGCTCGAGCCCCCCGACGAGCGCCGCCTCCTGCTCTGTGGCGCCCAGTCCCATCGACCGCCCGGGGGCGAGGAGTGCGGGCGCGCGGCGCGGGACGGGGAGCCAGATACAAGCGCGGCCCCGGCGCGGGACCACTGAAGTGGCGGGCGCGAGGCGCCCAGGCTCATTTAAGCAGACAGCGCGAGCGCCGCGTGCCGGCCGCGCCGCCTGTGCGCATGTGCCCGCCCCGCCCCGCCCCGCCCCGCGCCTGGCGCGCCCGCTGCGGCCTCGCGACTCGGGACGGCGTCGCTCACCGCCTGCTGCCGTTACGGCTGGGCACCGGCGGGGCGCGGGGGGGTGTGGGGTACCCCTCGCTGTGGCTGCGCGGTGCCCTCCCGCTCCGAGAGGCCGACGCCAGGGCATAGCCCGGCCAAGCCCGGCCGCCGCGCAGGGTGCCCGGGGCAGCGGCCCGAGCCCTCGAGGCCTCCCGCCTGACGGAGGCGCCCCGGAAGCGCCGCCACCCTGGCCCCTCTCCCTCGCCCGCCTGCCCCATCCCCGCCCACCCTCTCAGACGGAACGGGGCGCCGACCTCCGGTCCCCCGGACCTCTATTCAAGGTCAAAACTTCGCCCACCTCAGCCTTGCTCGACCCGGAGCAGGGAGACGCGGACTCGGCAGAGGGAACCAGAGGCTCTCCCTGCCCTTCGCGCCAGTGAGTTCCCGATCCGCTGCCCTGACGGCGTCTCCCCAGCGCCTGCCGGGTTAACTGGCACTTTAGTACCAACTCCTTAGACTCCCCTCATGAGGTAGGTTGTAGAGGATGGGAAAATCGAGGCCAGAGGTGGCGCCATTTGTCCAGAGCCACATAGCAAGTGAGCGGCAGAGCTGTGCACTCTCCCCCGGAGCATCCTCAGCTAACCTCGGCGCTGGCCGGCTTTGCTCGCTGGTAGGAGTCTCCAGGTCTGCCAACAATTGCCTGGTTCTTGGGGGTATTCGTGATTCTGCTTTATTTTCTCCGTAGCGGTTATCACACTGATATGACCTTCCTTATTTATTTATTTATTTGCTCATCCTTTGTATCTCCCTCACCCTTACACCATTAAACTATCAGCTGCTTGCAGGCAGGGAGATTGCATTCAGTTTTTTCACTCCACAGTAAGTATTGGGTGTCAATTATGCGCAGAAGACAATGATTGATGCCGGAGAAACAACCGCAATCAAGGCCCTACCATAATAGAATATTTATGCCTGTGTCTGCAGGTGGGAGGAACTCTATAAATGTTTGTCTAACCAGTTGTAGCTAGACTGAAGGACAATGTCAGGCAACTGAAAATTTTTTCAGGTGTTACGCCCTTCTCTCTTTGTATTCCTCCAAGAAAGGCACAAAAGCATAAGCAATTCACAAGATGTACAAAGGAAAAACATTTCACACCAATTAATATCGAGGTTTCACCCTTTGCCATGGTACTATGGGGGGGCATAAAAATAAGTGTAAGTCTGGGTTCGTAAAGTTAACCTCCTACAGTTAAGATCGCACACAACCAACTAGGAAATAAAACATTTAAGAACTTTTTCCTACGCCTATAATAAGGTTGCATGCGGCTAGGCGTGGTGGCTCACGCATGTAATCCTAGCACTTTGGGAGGCCTAGGCGGGCGGATCATATGAGGTCAGGGGTTAGAGACCAGCCTGGCCAACATGGTGAAACCCCATCTCTACTAAAAATACAGAGCTTAGTCGAGTCGTGGTGGCCGGCGCCTGTAGTCCCAGGTACTCGGGAGGCCGAGGCAGGAGAGTGGCTTTAACTCGGGAGGTGGAGGTTGCAGTAATCCGAGATCATACCACTGTACTCCAGCCTGGGCAACAGCGAGTCTTCGTTTCAAAGAAATTATAATAAGGTGGCCTAATGGTAGAATAGGACAGTAAGAACACAATGGTAAGTCTAAGTCACAGACAACAGTGAACAAAAAAATTTTGAGAGGAAGGGACTGTCAGCTTCTGGAACATAATAGGTTCTTAATGTGAAGTTGTTGACTAAAGGAAAAAATCAGTGTGTGATGTCATCAGAGAGAGCATCCTGAAGCAGGTGACACATAAACCATGGAAAGGCTTGGGGTGGTGATAGGAGAGGAGAGGAGGCAGAAGAAGAGCTCAGCAGGCAGGGAGCAGGGTGAGCCTGGAACATGGGCAAGTGTTGTATTTGGTATTAAAGATGAGGTTGGACAGGGTGGGCTTTGATTATGGAGATATGTGCATGAATGCTAGTTAGGTGAATGGTGACCTTTAATAGTGGAGTAATGGAGTTCTGGGAAGATTCACCTGTTAGTTGAGGTTGTAATAAAGGGGAAGAGATTAGAGCAACCACAAGAATTCCAAAAGTAGATCTACAATACGTCTGCATTTACTTCAGTAGCTCTTACTGATAGTATTATTTTGATTAAACCTAAAAAGTTTTTTCTCCTCTAGAATGTTGGCTTGAGAGTAGATTCCAACTGGGAATGTTCACTTTGTGGCTCCCTTTTAAGACACCTATCTTTTAAATGTGCTAGTGGAATCATCTGCGGTAGATTTTTTGAGGAATGTAGGAAAGCACAGATCGTAGCTGAGACTACTGTGTGGCCATATGTTAGCCAAATCAAAAGGGAGGCAGTTTTCATATCTCTCACTTGGGTATTCTGTATTGAATTATTATTTTCCTGGAAGAACACCCAGTAGCACCCAGTCTGTTCCCAGATTACCTGCCAGTTTCTAGGTGACCGAGGACTTTGCTTTCCTTGCAAAGGAAAGGCATCCTTTCAGGCTCTCTGACGCCTCACAGTCATTCCTATAGTCTGAATTAGGTTTTCTCTGACCAAGTCCCATGTGGCATGTGAATGGTGTTGCATGGCATTTAGTTGTTATTAGAACGAACCTTTTTTTTTTTTAAAGGAAGCATTTTATTGTCAATGTTTGTACACTTAACAGATTTTTGTTGTCTCTCTGTTTTGCTGTTGTTTGGGAGTGTTAACACTCTATTACATGACAGCCAAGGAAGGCAGGTTGTTGCGTTTAAAGATTGTTACTTACTGTGTTCCCTCCTAGTTCATATGTTGAAACCCTAACCTACAGTGTGGCTGTATTTGAAGAGGAAGGCCTCGAGGGAAGTAATTAAGGTTAAATGAGGCCGGATGGGTGGGTCCCTGATCTGAAAGAAATAGTGTCCTGATGGGAAGAGACATCAGAGAGCCTGCTCTCTCTTCATGCACATGCACCAGGAAAGGCCATGTGAGGACACAGCAAGAAGGCAGTCATCTGCAAGCCAGGAAGAACGTCCTCATCAGAAACTGAATTGGCTCCTGCCTTGATCTGGGACTTCAGCCTCCAGAACTGTGGGAAAATATGTCTGCTGTTTTAGCTACCCAGTCTGTGGTATTTTGTTGCGGCAGCCTGGACCAGCTAATACAGAGATTATAACTAAGGATGGTAGAGGAATTTAAAAAGAACCAAACTTTTACGTGCAGAAACTCTATTTGTAGTAAAATATAATATGGATCTTGAACTTTACAGCAATGGTGACATTTAGTGAAAAACAATTAGGTGAGTTCTCAGTATATGAAGGTTTCAGTGTTTATTACATAACTGTAGGTTTTTAAGGGAAGGAATAGAGGAAAATTAAAATTTTTAAAAAGTACGTTCTATTAGTCTGCTCAGGCTGCCATGGCAGAATTACACTGTAAGCTACGGACTGGGTGGCTTACTGTGTAGAAATGTATTTTCTCACTGTTGTGGAGGCTGGTTGGTTTCTACTGCAGCCCCTTTCCTGGCTTGCAGACCATCACCTTCTCACTGTCCTCAGTGGCCTTTTACTCTTTCTGTGCACATCCCTGGTCTCTTCCTCTTCTCATAAGGACACCAGTTCTATTGGATTACAGTTCCACCCTTCTGACCTCATTTAACCTTAATTATTTCCTTAAAGGTCCTGGCTCCAAAAAGTTATATAGAGGGATAGGGCTTCAACATGTGAATTTGTGGAAAACACAATTCAGCCCGTAAAATGCATGAATCACAATCATTCCTGTGTTAATGATATTGAAGAGCTGTCAGGGAGTCAAAGAGTTCTTTCAGTAACACTGTCCCCTAAATGTCTAAATTTCTAGTTAGCATAATTTTAAACAAAGAATGCTTTGAAGAAATATTGCTTCCTACTAATTACTAAAGTATTTCATCTTTACCAGGAAAATTTCAAATTAAGAAAATTTCTGGTCCTTAGTTACTTTCATTTGATTGTGAAAAACTAAGAAATGTCCTGATATTAGTCATGTGCTACGTAACAACCTTCTGGTGAGTGACAGACCACACACACAACTGTGATCCCGTAAGATTATCACTCCATATTTTTACCGTAGTTTTTCTATATTTACATATCATTACACATACAAATACTTACATTGTCTTGTAGTTGCCTGCAATATTCAGTACAGTCACATGCTGAACAGGTTTGTAGCATAGGAATAATACACTAGACTATAGAGCCCAGGTGTGTAATAGGCTAAACCATCTGGATTTGTATAAGTACACTCTATGAAGTTTGCATGACCCATTTCTCAGAATGTGTGTCTGTTAAATGACATATGACTGAATATTTCTTAGAATAAAGTTGCTGACATATATAACATCTTTTCTTCTCTAAAACCAAAATCCCATATTGAAAAGAGATGTGTTTACTTAAACCTATTTACTTTCTAACCTGGTGTTCTTTCATTAAAAAACAACAACCCCTCCAAGAAAAACCCTATTTACTAACAGCTGAAACAAATGTTCATTGGTGCAATATGAAACCATAAAGTGTAAACTCTTGATTCAGTTATTTGGTAATGTTTTTTAAATAATAAAATTTCTTATAAATTCAACTTAAGGGCTTAATGGACTGTGAATATGTGGGCTGGCTTATATTCTTATGCTATTTAAAACTAATGTGACTGGAATGCATCTATTTAA